TTCGGTGATAGTAAAGGAAAGGGGGAACATCAAATTTTCACGGATATTGGGCATGTGGGCAGTTTGATGCTTCGACTGCAGTTTTAATTCTGTTTGTTGAAAATTTTCATTTGTTGTAATTATGAAATTTGGACTCCGTTATATCCGCTTGCAACAGAACAGAAATTTTTACGCATTTCATTTTTTATTTCCAGCGGATTCGTTCTCCCAGCAACCGGCCACTATAACCGCCAAGTATAAGAGCATTTTGACTTCCCATTCAGTAATGTAGTGGAGCTAGTGGAGCTGTGGAGTTTATTATTCGGGTACAAATGGTTGTGCGCCAAACCGCGTGTAAAACTCATATTCCAAGTGCGAATTCAGACTGGAATGCAGCGATAATATAAAATTTTTTTCTTCGTCTCCGAAGTCGAACATTTTTTGCAACTTCGATGTTAGCGATCGACATTGGCTGGTTATCGGCAGTAATAATTACACGCTACTGTTCCAACCATTTTTCTTTCAAATTTATTTTCGCCGCTGTATCATGCTTTTTGAGGAAAGGTTAGGGAGGGATATGAAATATTTAGTTTCACAGACGGTTTATTTTTTTAAACGGCATGTTCGACGTAGAGGTGACGTTGCTGTGTTGTTTTAAGAGATTCTTCAATTAACTGGTGAAATGCTGTAAAAATGGAAGGACTTGGCTTTAAAAAGTGCGAAACCTGTGCTAGTGCATTTGGCAAACCGCAAATCTGCAAGGTGTCGACATCGTTGTTCTGTGCGACAAAGTAGTCGTACAGGGCTGCTTTCCTGCTTAGCGTATTAACAAGCCTCCAACAAGTAATATTTAGCGCATGTCTGAAAAAAACTTCCACATTACTTTTTAGACACCGTAAAAAGTAACTTTACGAGAAGAAATAATCTCGTTTTTTCTGGGAAGTATTGCACGATTTAATCATGGACGCCATGTACTGCTTGTGGAGCAATGGGTGGGGTTGACTGGGGAGGCGAGAACTTGAGCTGCTAACTGAGAGGCATTTGGGATGGGAAATAGCTTTTTGGTCTCAAGAACTATTTTAATGACATTTAAAAAAAAAAATTAGTTGTTTTAGTTGTTTAGTTGTTTCCAGCGCAGTTGTTTTTGCTACTAAACTCTGAAATTGTACGCCTTATCTAGACTTATATTCTGTTCAATTCATGTGAACTTTATTAGAAGGATAAACTTCTTCAAAATCCAGGAGGCTGGATAAAAAAATTTTTCAGAATTTTACTTTTATATCTCTGTGAGTTTTATAAGGACACTTTTGACTTTTGTTTGGCTATCACTTGCTTTTTTGTTCAGGTAGTCATCAAAAGATGCAGTAAGGTAGTGTTGAGTAAAATTTAGGTTTAGGAATTAAGAAGGAGAGTAAAATCATTGATCCTGAATGGCAAGGGCTTTTTATAGCTCGTTACTGCAGCTTACTCCAGTTTTGATAACAGAGTGTGTCTTTTTTTAGCGCACCAACGTTGGACATTATTTCTTCTAACGTTTTTTCATGGTTTTATCCGCGACGAATATCTTTTGCGGTATACTTTATAACTTCTGCAAAACTGGAGCGGGTGAAAGTCTGAATGAAGCACCGGAGAAGTACGATTTCTGAGTGGGAAGTTGGTTTTTTGAAGTACTTTACTACAGCACTTACCACTATGCAGAACTGGTGTTTTCTGATAATTACTTAGAAATGGCTTGTGATTTTAAACTGTCAATAAATTGCTATTAAAAATAGTTGTTTCTGAATGGATAACAGATTTTGGCAAACTATAAAAACATCTTACTTGCTCTTTAGTTTGTACATTATGCAATAAAATTACTTCTTCCACTTCTTTGACTAGCTTTTATTTTTCATATTTTTCTTGAGAATGTTCGTAAATATAGTCAGTATTTGTTTATATCGCCTTTGTTCCTATCAATGTCTTACCGTGGAACTTAACAGGTCAGTTTTTTAGTGTTGTCATGGAGAGTTTTCCAAGTATAGCTATAGCCATATTTTGATAGGCTGAAGAGCAGAATGACTGTTTTTCTTACTTTACCAAATTAGGTTTATACGAAATTTCTCTGTACTTTATAACAAAATAATTTTAAAGACATTTAAAAAGATTATCTAGCAAACTCAAGTGGGTGAAATATTTGAATTCTAATATTTTAATTTGTTTTATAGCTTACATTAATATGTTTGTCATCAAAAAAAAAAAATTTATACGAAGAGTTACAGGTTTGAAGAAACGCCTAATGAAAGTTGAGCAACTCAGTAAATCAATTTTCACTAATTTGGGATTTTTAGCATTAGTCTAATTGCTGGTTACTGAAGATTAAAATAAATTTTTAGTGCCAGCGATAGTTGAGGAACAGTAGGATATTTGTTTTTGAGATTTTGAAAGGGTAAAGAAATTCTTTTTTTTTATTTGTGACTTAACTGGTAAAATTGTTCGCCAGCTAATTCAGAAATTACCAAGACTGATACGGATTGCTCAGTCTTTCGGAAGTTGTTTTTTGTTGAAAGCCTTTGCAGCGGTAAGGAAGCATTATTATATTTAGCTTTTAAAAAAGAACGTCAAAAATAGTTTTACATACCTGCCAGGGCTTATTGGTAAAGGTGTGAATCCGTAGCCGTCAACGTAATAACGTCCCCAGTAATCTTCTGAACAAATACGAAACAAAATTCTTGGAAAGCAAAAGTTTTCACCAAAACTTTTTGCTCTTGTTCGCATATATACCGAAAATGTGTGCGAGAAAACGGCAACATCATTCTAAACAACAGACTTTTATAAGAAAAAAGTTGACGGTATCTCTGTTCAGAGATGAAAATTTTGTAGTGCATTTACTCGTGAAGTTTGATACAAGGAAAATTTGTATTAACTTTAAATACTTCATGGACTGCATAACCAAATTCTAACCCCATCAATCGATTTTGTTACGCTAATATTCGTAGAACCTTCTTTTGTGCCACCATCTACAGAAATCTCATCTGGTACTTCAACTTTGTATTCTACATACAAACCGTCGTGCGGAAAATTCAAAGCTTTCTCTAAAATCATGGAAAAGTTAAAGCATTTTTCAGCTACAATTTCCCAGTCGAGCCGAACTTTTTGGCTCATATATTTAGTCAAAAGAGTTTTTACTTAATGGGAACCAAAGCCCACCAATCTCGATGAAGTAATTTAGGGTAATGTAGTCTTCACTAGGCACATCGAATAATGACAGGTCATTGATTGGAGGAAGTTGATCCTACGGTTTAGTAAATATGGTTAGGGTTTTACAGACAGACAATTCAATCCAGAAAGCGTAGATTATATACTTGTATAAACAATATCTTACACTAGACCTTGCCAATACAACGGGACGTTATTTTGATTAAATAAAAGATTGTTCTAAGTTTTTTACTGAACAACGTCATGCTTTATAAGTTTTTTCTTGCAATTATAAGCACGAATGTTTCTGCTGTCTATTTAAGCGAGAAAACAAGTTTTTCTTTAACGTTTTGAGTAATTTTCTCAAGAAGCGTTTTAAAACCAATATTTTAATCTTTTGGGAAAATTACTGCAACTGACTTCCTCATCTATGGTTGAAGGAATTAAGTCAAAGTTAGCATCTTCAATAGAAACTGTCGCCAAATAATTGCCATATCTGCTTTGCAGAGTAACACTTGAACTCGCAACATCAGGTTCAAGTGTAATAATCCTATTGTTGATCACGGTTATCTTACAGATAACATACTCGTCGTTCGTGTCGTAAGATTCTCTAAAAAATTTTTCAGTGCTTTAGGATGATTACTGGCTGTAATCGGTCTTTAAAATGCTTATTTCCAAGTGTTTTTTGAAAAACTTAATTATTCACAATTGATCTGCTAATAATCAAAGGTAGTTAAACATTTCTATCGTGAATCTGTAACTGTCACTCAAAAATAAACTGTATTAATCATTAAGATTATGTTGACATTTTAAGTGCCTATGTTATTAAAGGTAGTATTTTCTATGAAGCTCGGTGAGTTGTTTCTTAATTAACCTGTCGCAATGAAGCGGTCCTAGGTAGGCCATCAGATACATGGTAACTGCTGACATATTTACCGTCCTCGCTTTTCGCATAGATTCCTTTGATGGTAAATCTATCACCATCTCTCGCCGTCGACTAACCACCCGAATACTTTCAGTTGATTAAATTTTCAAAAAGCAGATCAAAAAAAAATGAAGGAAACAGTTTGTTACCTGAGAGGAGCTATTCTGCTATTTCGCGCATTATTTTTTGCTAGTGAAGAATCTTTATCTGATCGACTGTCTTCTTCTTTGTTTTCCGTATGCTAATTAATGACTTTTAAAGGAATTTTACATTATTACAGTTATGGTAAAGAAGTGGTGTTGAGAAGGAGCAGTAAACTGAACAAATCTTGATGATAAACTTTCACTTCTTGTTTATATGGAAAGACTGTTTAAACATCAATATTTAATCTTTTTGTTAAAGTATTTATAACCAGAAAACAGGACAACTAAAATTTGAAGTTTGATTAAGCATTATGTTACCCATGTGAGCACATCTTCTGGTGGCTTTTCGTTGTCAATATAGGTGAAAAGACGTTGCCTGTCAGCTTGTGAGCTAAAATTCAAATTGTTTGCTTCTTAAAAGCAAAAATACATATTTAACCGACACATTTTTGAAGAATTTATCAAAAATTTTTGTTATTATGTATTCCTGAAAAGATTTCGTAGACAAGTGAATTACAGCTGATAAAAGCTTATAGGTTAGTATGAAATAGAATGTTAGAAAAGTGTTACCTCGTACACGGTTCACTGTTGTCTCCTGCATTATCGTTTTGTGCAAAGCACTATAATTATTGCTATACACCAATAAAAAAGAATATTGGTTTTCAGTCATACAGGTTTTAGTTTAAGTTGTTAAAACTAAGATTTTTTCTCTTGTTATAAGATGTTTCAGAGCAAAAAGTAACGTTTATTCATCTTGCTCTGCTGAGTTAATAATCGGTACTGTATTTGTTTTGGTGATTATAAACTTTAGCTCCGTCAGTTCCGTAAATCATTTTAGTCAAAATGTTTGGCAGCAAAATGTTTTTACTTTAAACAGAATCTTTTCAGCATTAAAAGTTTTTCCTAATTTTCTCGTTGCTTAAGTTTAAGTGCAAATGCAACTAAATCTAACCGGATTTTCAACTTTCTCTTGCCATTTAATCGTTTTTTCCTCGCGAGAAGTATTTTCAGTTCTTTTTTCATACTCGAGGATACCAAATTTATTTTGGTCTAATTTAGCGGATGACAATAACTGCCCAAAATATGTTCCTTTGTACTCTAATTTAATCCTACAAGATTATAGGTGGTTGTAAACAAGTAAAGAGTGAAGAAAAAAAGACCAGCTGCTAAAAAAAGCAGAATTTTAAAAGATTTCATATTTTTTGAAAAAAGAAAAAACAAAAATTATTGGCAGTGTGAACAAAACAGTATAAATTAGTAACAGTTACGAACTGAAATTGTAGTTCAGATGTTATGACTGCAGTCGAATAGACTCCAATATCTTTCTTTTTAAACGCCATTCAGTTGTTCATTCGTTGATAAAAAAAAGTTACAGCCCGTTTCTAAAAATATTGTATTATAGCACTCAAAATAAGCTTTACTCTATTTAATTCTTATTCATTATCGTTTAAAAAGAAAAAAATACGTAGCGAGGAAAGGCGGGGAGATGCTTAATGTGCAGAAAAAGAATCTGGTTGAATTGAGTTTAACTATAAACGACAAATAGATGAAACTATTCAACTGGCATACTGATGACAAATTTTGCGTATTTTCCTTTACCAAATAAATAAATATTTCACTGATTGCCGTTGAAACACTATAAAATGGATAGGTATTGGCTAAGCATAGCAACCATCAAACTAGCAACCAGCAAATCTGGCGTTCTCAACCGACTGGTTTACCACCTCATTTAGATACTAATTGCACATTTCTAGGCGTCGGCATTTTATGCGATTTAGCAAACAACAAATGCTTCCGGAAGGTTAGGAAAAGTTTATTTTTTTTGCACCTCTTTTTTCCAAAAGCAACAAGTCATTGGTAAAATGAGTACAAATCAGAGTGATTAATGTGATAATTAGATCAGCCAAACTGCTTTTTAGTGATCTTTTTAGCTATTTGCTTTTGTCTTTTGAATAACTCTCCTCTTCAAAAAATTTTAATTCATACATTAGCTGTGAAATTATCTTAGCTATTTTAAGAATAGTTTGAACACATTGTGTTGTAAAAAAAAAATTTGTCGTTAACATTCAATGTCAAGTTTTAGTACCGCATTAAAGTAAATTTTACTGAAAATTCAGTTCTTAAAAACCGGTAAAACCTAAGATTTTTTGGTAATAACATCATTTTGTTTTTTTTCTTTTAAAATTTTACTACAAATAAGCAATTAGAAATATTTAAAAAACCGACAAACGATCATCGGGTGTATGGAGTATTTAAGCGAAAAAATAATCAAACGAAAAATTCCTGCATACAGCTGCTGCATTTTTGCGAAGTTTTATATAAACAAAGAGGAACTGTTACAGCTTACTGCAACTTTGGTGTTCCATTATTCATAACAACTCAACTTGAAGATGTCTGTTTCAATTTTTCAGCCCTGTTCTGAGCAAACCTATTTTGGGGTACAACTGATTTGAATGGAAAAATAGAAACAGGAAAAAAAGAGCTGTTTTTTGCAATATTCTGTCGAAGGAATTCGATAATGTTTCCCTCGGCTGTTTTCGCTGAATCAATGCTCACTTAGCAACCTCTTAATTTCAGTAGTTTTCTTCTTCTGATTCTTCAGTGAACAACTTTTCTCTCCTTTTATGGTGTAAAAAACTTTAATAAACGTTTAAATTAGCGCTATTCGTTTAAAATTTTAAAATTAAAAGTGTTTTATAGTGATTCTTTGATTTTAACTTTTTATGCAAATTTGGAACTGTCAATCAAGTCTCAAGTTACCCTTTTTTCAGCTACATTGCTGAAGCTTTCAAAAACTGACCTTTTTTCCATAGTTTTACGCTTTTTGGGAAGAAAGAAGTGCGAGAGAAGATAAAGGTTATTAAATTCTAATAAGTGATTAAGATTTGATTGATGAACTGACTGATAGTATAAAAGTATATTTATCAGGTATCCTTAATTCTAACCTTTTTTTTGCATTTTTTTCTTCCCTTTTTACTTTTTCTTACTGTATTACGCAGTTTTCTACAACTGCAGTGTTACATTCAAATGTCACTTGTTTGCTGTAATTAATTTAAAATAGGGAATAAGAAAAAACCTAGCATTTTGATGACAATTTGTTGGTTTCTGAATAGCACAATACAGCCAAACAAGCGAACGGCTTAATCATACAAATTGGTTACCGAACGTTTGATCAGTCATTCAATATTAATCAGTTTCTTTGAACCTCGTTTGCAAAATAATAACAGTTTGAAGTGCATAAGAAATATATTTTAGAAAGTTTAAAACAAAAGCTGAACGTGTTTTGAACGAATATTTCAAAAGTATGAGCTAAAAAATTTGGGAAGAAAAAAAAAACAAAGAAAGAAAAAAATTGTATTAGTGAAAAACAAAAGTAAAAAAAGCTGCATTT